TCCGATTTTCCCTTAGGTCATGATCTCGCGGTTCGTGGGTTCGAGCCCCGCGTCGGGCTCTGTGCTGACTGCCAGCTCAGAGCCTGGAGCCTGTTTCAGTCTGTGACTCCCTCTCTCTCTGACCCTCCCCTGCTCACGCTGTCTCTCTCTCTCCTAGAAATAAATAAAAATAAAATAAAATAAAAATAAAAATAAACAAGAACATTAAAAAATAAAATAAAATAAAATTTCAACAAAGCCTGGCTCTTTCAATTAAAAAAAAAAAAAGAAAAGAAAAGCACTTTGTCTTCTGTGACTTCAAAACCCCATTCAGTGATTTAGTTGACTGACTTGAATCAGGATGGATCGAAATATTTTCCCAACTACAGATATATGTCACTCTTTGTTCCTTGAGGAGAATCTACCCTCTGTTTGAAGCCCATGAAACATTTGTAAAGCATAATCAGCGATTAGGCCACAAGAAAAAATTTAACATATTCGGTGGGGAAGAAATCATTCAGGCCACAATCTTGGACTACAATGCAGAGAAACTTAGAAAAGAAAAGAAAAAAAAAAAAAAAAACAAACCCCACATACTCCTACATAACTTTTGGATTAAAGAGGAATCAAAAGTGCAATTAGAGACTGTTTAGAAAGCAGTGGTAACAAGGACGTTACATAAGCAAGAAGGCCCAGGCTGTGCACACAGAACCGCTAGGAGCTTTAACAGCTTTTGTAATTAAACAAGGAAGAAGAATAAAAATAAACTGTTCAATCAGAAGTTAAAAGGAAAGCCGAGAAAATATGAGTAAGAACAGTAAGCAGGAATTGATACAGATTAAAACAGAGATGAGTGGTCGGAAAAGAGAAAATCAGTGTTTGTTAAGTACAGTTGAGCTTGGGTAACGCGAGTCAGAGTAGGGCCGCCAAAGGCAGCACAGAGAAATCCACCTGCCAGTTTGGACTCCCCTGAAACTTTGCCTCTAGAAGTCTACTGTTGATCAGATGCCTTTGTGATAATGTAGCCAG